CAATTGTTCGTTTTCGATCTTGGAAGAAAGTTAGAGATGGAATAAATTGTTCATTCTTGGCGCATAGCGGAAAAGATCTCACTTCTCCTCATCGAAACGCTGAAAAATCTTGTGCAGACCTCATGAATCAAGAATGTCACATTGCACAAAGCATTGAAAAATTCACTTCTCAAGAAGTTGTTGAAAATAGGCTTCGCTTGAAGACATCAATTGAAGCAATTAGATGACTTGCATTTCAAGGATGTTCTTTACGAGGTCATGATGAGTCAACAACCTCAAGTAATCGAGGAAACTTTTTAGAATTATTAAGTTACACAGCCTCTTACAATGAGGAAGTAGCAAAAGCTCTGGATAAAGCTCCTCGAAACGCAACATACACATCTCCAGCAATCCAAAAACAAATCTTGCAAGTTATGGCAATTTGAGTGAAGAATGCTATAAGAGAAGAAATTGGTGATGCAAAGTTTTGCATCATTGTTGATGAGGCTCGAGATGAATCCAAAAAAGAACAAATGTCAATTGTTCTAAGATTTGTTGATAGAGATGGATTTGTTCAAGAGCGCTTCTTAGGAGTTGTGCATGTTAAAGACACTGTTGCATCAACATTGAAAGAATCTATCTTTTCTGTCTTGTCTCGACTTGCTCTTGATGTTAAAAATATTCGTCGACAAGGTTACGATGGTGCAAGCAACATGAGAGGTGAATGGAATGGATTGAAGGCTTTAATTTTAGACGAATGCCCTTATGCTTATTATGTTCATTGCTTTGCACATCGTTTGCAATTAGCACTAGTTGCTGCATCAAAGGAGGTCATTCCCATTCATCACTTTTTCACCAAGTTGAATTGCATTATCAATATTGTTGGAGCTTCATGCAAACGTAATGACCAATTGAAAGTTGCTCATGTCTCAAATATTGCTCATTTACTTAGCATTAATGAGCTTGAGAGCGGGATGGGGCTAAATCAAATTAAATTTGTTCTTTACAACGAGCCGGAGACACCCGTTGGAGTTCTCATCTGAAATCTATAACTAGCTTGATGAAGATGTTTAGTGCAACATGTGAAGTGTTGTTGAATATTATTGAAGATTGAACTACACATGCTCAACGTGGGGATGCCGATGCAGCTTATGAGGTGCTCACTTCTTATGAATTTGTCTTTATTATGCACCTTATGAGAAAAGTGTTAGAGATTTCTAATATGCTTTGCCAAGCTTTGCAACTTCAGTCTCAAGATATTTTGAATGCAATTCAACTTGTTTCATCAACTAAATTGCTTATTCAAAAGTTAAGAGATGATGGGTGAGAAGAGCTAATTGCAAATGTGAAAACATTTCATGAATCTGTCAACATACCTGTGCTAGACTTTAATGTTGCTTACGTTTCTAGAAGAGGAAGAGCTCGTCATCAGCAAGATAAATTAACTGTCAGAGAGCATTACAAGTTTCACATTTTTCATGAGGTGATTGATACTCAGCTTTCAGAGTTGAACACTAAGTTTAATGAAAATACAATCGAGCTTCTTACTTTAAGCACATCACTTGATCCAAGAGAGATGCGCACAACTTTCAGAATTGATGACATTTGCAAGTTGGTAGAAAAGTTTTACCCACAGGACTTTGAAGAGTATGGGATGCTGCAAATGAGGATACAATTTCAGCACTTTGATCATTTGCGGCTACTGCCTGATTTTAAAGTGTTGGAGTCCATTTCTGATTTATCTCAATGGTTGGTGAGAACTAGAAAATCTGACATCTATCGACTTGTATACCGAGTGATTACTCTTATTCTCACGCTTCTAGTATCTACAGCTACCACTGAGCGGTCTTTTTCCGCTAGGAGCCTAGTCAAGACTACACTTCGCAACAAGATGGAAGATGAATATCTTACTGATTGTTTGTTAGTGTATATTGAAAAACAAATTGCCAAAAAAGAAAGTGTAGATTCTATCATTGACGATTTTCGTGATATGCAAGAAAGGCGTTCAAAGTTTTAATTACCAAACAGTTTAATTTTGTAATTTTGAATATTACAAATGAATATTGGTATATCATTTTATTTTGCTATGATGTCGTTGTAATATACTACCTCCGTTCTTAAATAAATGCAACACTTTGACTTTTACATTATTCACATGTTCTACTTTGACTACGTTTTATTTATTAATGTAATAATATTATTTTATGAAAGAAAAAAATATTGTTAAACTTGTCTCATTGTAAATTTTCATAATCTAATTTTTTTAATTTTTAACTAATACAAAATCATTTATATTAATGGTCAAAGTTGTGTCTCGGCAAGTGTGAAATGTTGATCGTTGCATTTATTTAAGAACGGAGGAAGTATATGTTAGTACTTGTATTATATTCTCGCCCCCCCCCCCCCAATACAAAAGTCTGGCTCCGCCCCTGACCTGATCTATTCTGAATTGATCAGGTTTGGTAAATGTTCGGTCTTTGTATTTTATAACTATCGAAGTTTGGTTTGGTATGTTCTGATAAAAACATCTAAATAAATTTTGTGATGAAGTAGCTTAAGTCTTTCAAACTAGATAGAAATTTAATAGAATTATATAAAGTTGCTTTAAATTTGATTAAAAACTTTGGAAAGAGTAAAGAAAACATAGGTAAAAGCTAAAGTTGAGTATAAAATGTTGAATGAAGGTTTGGAAATCCCTTAGGTTGTTTTTACTTGGACTGTAATTCGTCTCAGACCAGACCAAACCAGATCAGACCAAAACAGATCAGACCAGACCAGACCAGACTAAAACAGATCAGACCAGACCAGACCATGTTTTTTTATTAGTATTATTATCATCATCATCATCATCGTCGTCGTCGTCGTCGTCATCATCATTATCATTGTTATTGTTATTATTATTAGTATTATTATTACTACTATTACTATTATTACTATTATTATTTTTAATTATAAATGAATAAAATATAATTATTTATGGATTATAATATATATAATAAATAAAATCTTTATGCAAAAAATATAAAAAATAAAATTTCAGACCAGACCAAACCAGACCATATTTTATTATTATTATTATTATTATTATTATTATTATTATCATCATCATCATCATCATCATCAGCAACATCATCATCATCATCATCATCATCATCATCATCATTGTTACAGTTATTATTATTAGTATTATTACTATTATTACTATTATTATTTTTAATTATAAATGAATAAAATATAATTATTTATGGATTATAATATATATAAAAAATAAAATCTTTATACAAAAAATATAAAAAATGAAATTTCAGACCAGTCCAGACCAGACAAGATCAGACTAGACCAAAACAGACCAGACTAGACTAAAACAGACCAGATCAGACCAAATCAGACCTGCAAATTACAGTCCAAGTAAAAACATCCTTAGTTTTCAAAGAATGCAAAGAGTAATTATATTCAAAGAGCCCAAATTACTATTCACGGTCAAAAGTAGAATCCTTATGCGTCGTTCTTCACCCACATCGATGGAAGACCTCCACGGCTCTCCCGCTATGTGACTGAGTTTCTATCTTCTGCTTGAAACGAAGATAGCACGGGTAAAAATGACAAATGAATAAAATATGGAAAATTCTACGGTGCACTCCTAAATATTGAGTGTATCGGTACACACCTTTTCTTATCCAATCACAATTTAATATTGTGCTAATAAATATGATTACCGACTTGTAGTGAGGATTGAGTTATTAGCCTAAATATGATTGAATTGTTTCTTAAATTTCTAAATAGGACCGTATATTTTTATTTTTTAAATAGGACTTTTATACCATATTTGTCCTTCCTAATATAAATAAGGTTTAAATATTTTTTTAGTCTCTGCAAATATAGTATCCCTGCAAAATTATTTTTTTATTTTTCATTTCTAAAATGTATGTTAGTTTTTCTTTTAATCTACCGCTGATTTAATAGAATTTAATACGTATTTTAAAAATGTGAGTAATTAGTTTTTATTTTTTTAACTCTCATATTTTCCTCAAAAAAAATATAGGGATGAATTTTTTTAGTGATATACTAAAAACCAAATAATGCATAATAAAAGGATGAAAAACATAAAAAAAAAATTGCAGGGACTTAAATCATATTTAAACCTATAAACAATTGCCTCCTAGTTCCCTATGTCGGTGATCCGGATCCGCGGCGTCAGTGTAGGCCAAATCTTTAGTGGTAGAGGCCGGATCTTTAGCCACGGCGGCCGACGTGGCCAGATCTGGTCAGATGTACGGTGGTGGTTCATGGCAAGATGTGCAATGTCGATGGTCAGATCGGTGATGCCCAGATCTGACCAGATGTACGGAGGTGGCGGCCAGATGTGTAGCGTCGGTTGTCGGTGGTCAAAAGCGATGTTCGTCTGCATTAAGTTTTGTCAAGCTTCAAGGGGTACTTTCGTACTCCTGTCCAACTACAAATAATAATTCCTATTTAGAATACTTTTAAACTTTGCACATACTTTGACAATTAAATATTTATTTATTCTTATTTAAATAAATCTCGTTTGACGATTTTGTTCAGTTTAACCTTTTTTTTCTAATCCGGTGAAGGATCCAAATGCAAAAATGGCAAATTATTATGTTTAGTTAATGAGGATATTAGGTGGCGTAAGATTAAGATATAATGGAATGAGTGGTTAAAAAGGATGATGGACGGTTAAAAAGGATGTGTACCAAAACACATCAAATTAAGGAGTGCACCGTAGAAACACCTATAAAATATACTCTAATTTAGGATTTAAAAGAGATGACAACTACGGTACCCATTTAAAAAATGAGGTACCGTACCTATCATTCACTTGATTAGTGCACATCATTATATCATTTTTAATTTAGATTTAAATAAACGGAGTAAATTTTCCCTATATTCTTGGGGGCCAATTCATGGATTGGTTGACGTTTGGCGTTTGCTCGTAAATGTGTTCTGCTAATAGGTAAAGGGATCCCTCACGTGTCCCTCAAAACTATTCAAAGAATGATTGTTGATTTGCCCATCCTCTACGTATAACGTATATATCTTAGCTTACGCACCAATACATCAGTATTAATTTATACGGATCGATCGGAGTATTTCAATTCGATTCCGGCCGGCCCTCAGCCACCTCGATCCTAAATTAACCGCCGGCCGCGCGATCAAATAAACAAACATGGATTGCGTTGCTTCGACTTCGACGGCGCCTCCGCCTCCGAGCAATGATTATATTGCTGCGGCGCCGACGCAACCACTCGCGGATCGAATCATCCGTGCCCTCCGTCACCCGCTCCGCCTCCTCCACCGCTCCGACACGCTGTTCTTCGTCCTGGGGGCGACTGCCAACGTTTACACTGTCAACCTCGGCGGCGCCACCATACATTGCACATGCCCCGACCCTACTGCTCCTTGCAAACACATTCTCTTCGTCATGATCCGGGTCGGTACCTGCCCTTCCTCTTCTCCCTCCCACCCTCTCTTTCTCTTTTAAAAATTAGAAATTACTCTAAATTACTCTAAATAGGAACAAAAACGTTTTGAAATTTTAAAACATTAGGAACAAAAGTAATCTGTCATGTTTGGAAAAAAATGTCATATTTTAAAACCTATTAATGTCAAACTTGGCAGAAATCTACTCTTATTCAAAGAATAAAAACATAATAGACCTATTTTGAAATTTGAAAACCTTTTTACTCATATTTAGGGAATTCTCCCTTTAAAAATCTCTAAAAGCTTCATCTTTTGGAACAAATCTTTGCTTTTAAAAAAGATAAAATGGTCAAATAAACTATTTTATTGTTTTTAATTCATCACTTTATCTTATATTCTAAAAACCTACCTACTCCCTCCGTCCCTATATAAAAGAATCCATTCGTTTTCCACACATTTTAGGAAAGTGGGATCGATTGGTACTGTTTGGCACTGTTTAGACACTGTTTGGCACTGTTTTGCACTGTTTTGTTTGTCAAAAAAGGAAAGAGAACTTTTATTTAGGGACGGCCCGAAAAGGAAACAGATGTTTTTATTTAGGAACGGAGGGAGTATTAATTATTATATAAGGTAAGCTTACTTTAAAAATTGATCAATTTAATCATTTAATCACTTGTAATAGCAAGTGTTTTATATCAAAAATCTAAAAAAATCGAAGAAATACAGATAAAAATCGACATCAATATTTTTGAATTTTCAGAAATATTTGTATATTCTACGTCTTTTTAAAAGGGGCTTTACATTTTTTATTTTTTTAGTTTACATTTTCACTTTATTTTTATTTATCATTTTTACCATTTTAAATTATTTTCTATTTCACATTTAATTTTTACTTTTTTATTATTATCATTTTTCAAATTTATATGAATTTTTATACAGAGAGATTTTCAATAGTCATCGTTTATTATTTAAAATACGGAGTAACCTGTTATAGCAGGTCAAAATATAATGGCTCGGAAAAGCATGTACACTTATATGATATTTTTGGTTGAAGGGCTTAAGTGATATTAGTATATTAGAAATAGTACAAACGTCTATTTAACAATTTCCTCTTTAAAAAATTATTGATCTGTAGCTTTTAGCATATATTAGTCACAATCGATTGTTAAGTCAAACATAATTAAATCAAACAATTCGTGGATCGTTGCGTTTACTGCTACACTAAAAGCATTATACTCCCTCCGCCCGCTAAGATTGTCCCATTTTTTCTTTTCGATCCGTCTCACTAAGATTATCTCCTAAATTTGATAAAGTTTGTGTGATTCTAAATCATTTTTACGTTATCCTTACATTAACAATTCAATATTAACCACATGACCACATTTTTCTTAATAACTATGTCATCTCCTCGTGTTCTAATATTGGTGGGACGAAGGTAGTAGTATTGTAGTTGATGTAATTGAAATTCTTAACCATGAGCATAAATCATATAGTACAATTTATATTTCCAAGTGATGGAGTATATGGGTCTGAGCCCCACGACCCACATACTCAGAAGAACAGAAAGCACAAGACACTGAGTGCTGCCCTCGTCGGCCAAGGGACCCCCGTCGGCCGGAAAGGTACCAACTCAGAATATGGTCCTGAAGCCAAGGAACCCGGGTGCCCTCGTCGGCCGTGCCCTCGTCGGCCACGAAGACCTCACATAACCGGATTTTACACTTACTCATTTGTACAGCCCATTAGTGGCTTTGTATTCGGCCCGTAGCGGTCTAGTTGTAAATGAGCCTCCCAAGCCCAAGGCTTGGGAGCCCAGCCCGTATTTTCCCTATAAATACTTCCTCTGGAGGTAGTTATCAGGGTTACAAAATCATTCTATTGAAGCATATTATTGCACTTCTCTCTCTAGCTCTCATTTCTCTCTAGATATACTCTATCATTTGGTGCTCTCGTTGAGAGCTAGAACAATCAAGTTAGCACCCTTCGTCGCTACCAAGCACAACTAACCACTGATCATGGGAAGAACTAGATCAAATCGCAACCTCGTCAGCAAGGCCATCCCTGAGGACCAGGAGGCCAGGGAGCACGAGGAGGATGCTACGGCCGACCAGGTCGGCGGAGGGGACGTCTTCCAGGAGGCCATCAACCTCACGACGGACCTCCGCAACCAGCTCAACGGCGGAGCCCCTGATGCCCGCATCGGCTTGGACAAGAGACGAGCTGAGAAGACAGACCACGCCCCGGCCCAGCCTATGGTCGCGGCCTCTCCGTCTTTGGATCCACAGGTCCAGGCCACGGCTGTCGGTCATCATCGCCAGCTTGGCCCAGAACCCCACCGTCCTCAGCGCGCTCTTGCCAAGGACCGGGGGGAACGTCACTCCACCTCCTCAGCCCCAACCGTTGGCCGTCCAAATAGGCAACGATGAAGGGGTGATGGCCCAGGACACGGCGTCGTCCCACTCCCACCCCGCTTCCCCTCTTCGGCCTGGGCAGACCCCAGCGCGTGGAAAAGCCTCTGCCTTCAATAGGCTGGGTGACACGCGTCGTCGTCCGGTTTCGGAGAGGATGGCAGGGCGGATTGGTGGGCGTCGGCCTGGCTCGCCAAGGGAAAGCTTGGGGTCTGTGTCCCGGACAGCGGACCAGCCCCGCCCGGACAAGGGAAAAGGGAAGCTGCACGAGGACGACGTGCGTCACCAGATCAATGCAGCCCACGACGAGCGCATGAGAAACCAGCCGGGCGCCGCCGCGGCCGTCAGGGACCACCGGGACGAGGTCATCGCCCAGCTGGAAAGGAGGCTGGCTCAGATGGAGGCCAGGCAATCGGCCAACAACCCCACGGTTGGCGCCTCCAACGACCCCGACCTCAACGCTCTCATGAACAAGGTCAGCGCCCTAGAGAGGGAGCTGGCCGAAGGGCGAGGCGACCCCATCATCCAGGTCAGGACCAGGACCCCTTTCACCAACAGGGTGCTCTCGGCCCCCATCCCGGAGAAGTACAGGGGGAACGCCATCAAGACCTACGATGGCCGATCAGAACCCCAGGAACACTTCAGCCGTTATCAGAACAACATGTTGATGGTGAACGCGTCAGACGAATACCTCTGCCGTTGGTTCCTCTCTACTCTTGAGGGGCCAGCGTACGACTGGTTCAACGCGCTCCCCGAAGGGAGCATTGACTCATGGCAAGACCTTGCCCAACGCTTCCTCACCCACTTTGCCGGGAGGAAGCGCGCGAAGAAGTATTTCACCCACCTCCTCTCCATCAAGCAGCAACATGATGAGTCCCTCCGGTCGTTCATTGATCGGTGGACGAGGGAGACCGAAGAAGTCGAGGGGGCCGATGAGCGCACCCTCCTCTCCCTGTACCAAGGAGCCCTCCGCAGCTCCCCGAACGCAAGGAGCCTCATCACCGACCATCCAGGGCCGGCCGAGGAGGTCCTTGCCATCCAGCAGGGCGGCACATACTGTCGGTTCCACAAGAACTCCTCGCACAACACCGACGACTGCATCACGCTGAAGAAGGCCATCGAGCGTCTTATTCGTCAGGGGGAACTCTCCCAGTTTGTTAAAGGTGGCCCACACAAAAATACATGGGTAAACACCGGCAAACCAGGGGGCGGACCCTCTACGAAGAAGCGGGAGATTGGCAGGCTCAGCGACGACGAGGACTTCGAAGAGCCCCCGCCAAAGAAGAATCACATTCACCTCATTGTGGGCGGGAATACTGGGGGGGACTCCGTCACCCAGAGAAAGAAATAGGCCCAATCCCTCTACATAGGGGAGGTGTCCCACATTCCCCCCCCCCCAGCCGAAGAAGCAGCGAACGGAGGCGATCAGCTTCACCGGCAAGGATTTGCCTCCGGGTACGGAATCACATAGGGACGCCCTCGTCATCCGGTGTGAGATCGGTGACACTATCATCCACCGCACTTACATCGATACGGGGAGCTCCGTCAACGTGATGTACCTGGACACCTTCAGGCAGCTGAAACTGGACAAAGCTCCGTTGAAGCCGATCAAGACACCGTTATCCGGCTTCACCGGGGACTCTATCGACGCCGAGGGCACGATAGTCCTCCCCGTGGAGGTCGGTGACGGCTCCCACCGCGCCAAAATGGACATGGAGTTCATGGTGGTCCACCTCCAGTGCGCCCACAACCTGATCTTAGGGCGGCCAGCACTGGAGGACTTGGAGGCCATCATCTCCATGAAGCACTTGTGTCTGAAGTTCCCCACCAATGACGGCATCGGCTACGCCAGAGGAAACCAGAGGATAGCCAGAGCATACTACCTCAAACTGACGAGGCCGGCCGAGAGGGAAGGTCAGAGGATAGACACCATCACGGCGGCCGTTGCCAAGGACGAGGAAAGGCCGCATGCTGAACCGGCCGAGGAGGTCGAGGAAGTCCCTCTGGATACCTCCCGGCCGGAGCGGGTCCTCAGAATCGGGAAGCAACTCCTGTAGGACCAGCGGGACGCCATCCTCCTCGTCCTACAGTCGTACGCCGTCGTCTTCGCGTGGGGCCTGGACGATATGCCAGGCATCAGCCGCCAGGTGATCACTCACCGGCTGACCGTCGATCCGGCCTCCGCACCTATCAAGTAGAAGCGGCGCTACTTGTCCGCCGACAGGCGGGACTTCGTCAAAGGGGAGGTCGCCATGCTCCTCTCAATCAACCACATCAAAGAGGTGAAGTACCCGACGTGGCTGGTCAACGTCGTCCTCGCCCAAAAACCGCCAACATTCAGAATGTGTGTTGATTACACTGACCTGAACAAGGCGTGCCCCATGGACCCGTTCCCTCTCCCCAACATTGATCAGCTGGTGGACGAGACGGCGGGGTGCGAGTTGATGTCGTTCCTTGACGCTTTCAGAGGGTACCACCAAATCTCCATGCATGAAGATGACGCTGAGAAGACGACATTCATGACCCCAGAGGGAATCTTTTATTACCTCGTCATGGCCTTCGGACTCAAAAACTCCGGCGCCACCTATATTAGGATGGTGGC